ACGGGCAGAAGAGAGCGGGAAATTCAAGTGGCAATTCAAATTCGAATGAAAAATCGAAAAAATTAAATACTCAACACGGAAATAGTGAGCCACAAAGGGGAGTTTCATGTAATAATTGTCAATTTCCACATCCTATGTTCCGATGTTCAAGATTTTTGGCAATGAGCGTGCCAGAGCGGCAAAGGCGTGTGCGGGAACTAAATTTATGCGCCAACTGTTTTTCATCCAACCATAAGGCGGGATCACCCAGCTGCAAAGCGGGTCCCTGCAAAAGATGCAACAAGGGCCTTCACAATACTCTTTTGTGCAATGTCCCAGTGGCATCAACAAATGCATTGGCGGTTACCAATTGGCAAGGGCCATCTTGGAGCGAACAACCATTTACATCAAGTCATCAATCAAATTCAACGACTTTGTATCAACCTCCGGGTGCACAGCGTTCATCTCTTAACCCGGCAGCGCAAAGTTATTATATGGGCAGTGCTCCGAGCGGTAGTCAGGGCGGTAACTCAACCAATCAAAATTTTCATTAGCGCAGCTCCGTAGATTACCCGTGTTGACTACTGGCTTAGTAAGGCTGCATAACAACGTGGGTGCATTAATTTTAGCAAGAGTGCTGTTTGATATGGGTTCCGAAGTGAACTTAATTATTGAAAGATTGGTATACAGAGCCAATTTACCTAGACAACGATATTATATTGAAATTGAAGGAGTCACAGGAATAAATGTAGCAAATTATGTGACAATGATTAAATTTAGTCCATGGTTTGATGATGAAGAAAGAATTTGTATCTTCAAAGTCTGCGTAGTAATGAAACAGTTACCAATAGCGCAGAGAACAGAATGTAGAGCGGATATAAAAGAATTTCAACATATAGTTAAAGCCGATCCAAAATTTAATAGAGCTGGATTTGCAGATATTTTATTGGGCATAGACACTTGGTCGGAAATCCTTATGGGCCAAGTTTTATGGAGCAGTATCGGTTTATGTGCACAACTTACAACATTTGGTTATGCAATTTTTGGTACCATAGAAGCAACACCAAAATTATCAGCTTCTGTGTCGTACGTCGGTAGAGCAGTAATGTGCAGTGAAGAAACTCATCGTTTAGATAAATTGTTACAACGATTTTGGGAATGCGAGGAAGAGCTGATCGTAGGAAAAGTTCTTTCTAATGAGGAACAACAAGCCATTGAATACTATCGCAAAACAACAATTAGAGCAGAAGATGGGCGATTCATTGTACGTATACCATTCCGAAAGTCGGACACTGAGTTGGGTCAGTCAAGAGGAATCGCGTTGCAAAGATTTTATCAGTTGGAAAGGAGACTTGAGCGGCTTCATGGAGTGCGGGAAGAGTATCATCGTTCCATGCGGGAGGCCATTGAATCAAAACATATGCGATTAGCTACGATAAAAGAGCAGCATGCCACAGGATATTATATTCCACATCACCCAGTCCTTGCACGTTTTCGAATCGTCTTGGATGGAAGCTGTGCAACCACCAATGGGAAGAGTGTTAATGATATTCAGCTGGCAGGGCCGAATCTTCAAGAGAAATTGGCACATGTTATCATGCGATTCCGGTTTCATAAATATGTATTATCAGCAGATATAAAGAAAATGTTTTTGCAAATAAGAATGAACGATGAGGATTTAAAATATCAAAAAATCTTCTGGCGTTTCAACAAAGATGATCCATTGCAAGAATATGTGCTGCAGACAGTGATATTTGGCATGAAATCGAGTCCATTTTTGGCAATTTTTACTATGCTGGAATTAGCAAGAATTTACGAGAAACGATTTCCATCTGCAGCAAGAGCGGTTAAGAGCGAAAGATACATGGATGACTTCATGTCTGGAGGTGACTCCCTTGAGGAAGTTACACGCCTGTATCGAGAGTTGAATCAAATGATGGCCTTGGGTAAGTTCGAGTTAGGCAAATGGAAGACAAATTGTCATGAGCTGTTAAATCTCATAAATAAAGACGTTGGTGCGGATAATGAACCCCTTGAGCTGACAGACGATTCAACATCCATTTTGGGATTAAAATGGCAACCGAGCAGTGATTGTTTCATATTTTCAATTGAAGAGCAGTGGGATCAGAATAAACCTATTACAAAACGTACCATAGCAGGTCACATAGCGAGAATTTATGATCCAAGTGGATACTTAGCACCGATAATGATCAAGGCCAAAGCATTTTTACAAAGGTTATGGAAATTAAAGGTGACATGGGATGAAAAATTGAATAAAGAAATTTGTAATGATTGGATAAATTTTCATTCAACTCTATCGGCAATCAATAAGTTTCGAATTCCACGATGGATTCAAACAACAAAGGGCAGAGAAATTGAGCTGATTGGGTTTGCAGATGCATCAGAACTCGGCTATGGCGCAGGAATTTATGTGCGTTGTTCAAGTGGTGCGAGCAGCTGGTGTAATTTATTAACATCCAAAACTAGAGTAGCTCCAGTGAAGACCGTGACAATACCACGTCTTGAATTATGTGCAGCGGAACTACTCGCAAAATTGATGTTTATAATACGAGATAAATGTGAATTGAAATATGTGCCGTATGAGTGTTACTCAGATTCATCGATCACTTTGAGCTGGATCAGGAGCTGTCCCTCCAAATTAAAAATTTACGTAGCAAAGAGAGTACAATTGATTCAAAATCTTGTGCCGAAAGAACATTGGTTCTATGTACCATCAAAACAGAATCCGGCTGACATTGCCTCAAGAGGAATGTTAGCAACCGAATTAATACAGTGCAGTTTATGGTGGCATGGTCCACAATTTATTTTTGTTAATCGAGATAGAAGAGAAAGATTTCAGCCAGAATTCACTGGTGAGGAGCGGAACACTATTCAAAGCGAATATCGGGCGGCCGTCACGGCCAACATAGGTATTAAGGAGCAGTCTTGTCTTTCTTTAGACAAAATTTCATTAATTGAGCGTTTTAGTAATTTGAATAAAATAGTGCGGATAACAGCTTATGTGCTGAAAGCTAAGGAGCAGTTTAAGACAAACAAAGGTCAGCTTCCTGAAGAGGGGGAGA